TGGTTATACTGGGTTTCTACCAGGCCATTTGACTACAAGTTTTGAGTTTGTCCATGTGCCCTTGTGCCATGTGACCTAGAGCTGTGATTTCCAGTTTGATGAGGCAGCAGGTAAAGGTATTATGTCCAGTAACATGCTGACTTGGGACTAAACAATTTGTGTCTGGTCTGTTTTGAGAAGAAAGCTTTTATTATAGGATTAAATTTCAAAAGTCTTTATACCTCTTAGTTTCATTTTATTTGTGACAGATTCCATTAAATTCTTTATGATCCAAAATCTTCAATATGATAATCTGGCTATAGTTGACAAGGTTTGGGGAAAGTCTGTGCAGAAGAAATGACTGTAGTAAGGCCTGAGCAAAGAGGGAGAAAGTAAACTTCCTCCCTGCCTCCAACATTTGGAAAAAACTTCCCATCTTAGGCAGCGCAATTTTTCTGCTATTCTTTTCTCCCAATTTTTAACAGTACTTTTTTAAAAAAAAAAAATCAGACATTTAGCACTTCCCACTATTTAGAAGTTAATGGCTCTGTTTATTTTTCATGGATTGGAGATAAAATTATTATCCTTAAAGATAATAATTCATCAGGAGCTTCACAATCTAACCCCTTAAGGTTTCTCCTGTCTTCCTTCATATTCCCTTCTCTTCCCTCTCTGAGCTGCACTGAGCTCTCTGAACAGGGCACACTTCTCTCACACAGAACTCTCTATCTTTATTGCTTCCTCTGTCATATTTGCCCCACGGCAGTTCAAACTTAAATATCAACTCAAATGTCTCTTCATTAGAAAGGTTCTCCACAAACCCCAAACTCAATTAAGAATCCCACCACAACCACTACCAATAGCACCACACATAATCTTCAAGCACCTTTCTCTCTAACCCTTACACTATAGGTACATGTTCAATGTCAATCTCCCTGCAAGTCTATAAATGCTGGAAAATTGGAAATCAATTCTGGTTATTTTTTGTTTGTTTGTTTGGGGTACCAGAGATTGAACTCAAGGGCATTCAACCATGGAGCCACATTCCAAAACCCTATTTTTTATTTTATTTAGAGACAGGGTCTCATAGAATTGCTTAGCACCTTGCTTTTGCTGAGGCTGGCTTTGAACTCGAGATCCTTTTGCCTCAGCCTCCCAAGCTGCTGGGATTATGGGTGTGTGCCACCCTGCCCAGCTCAATTCTATTTTGTTAAATTCTGTCTCTCTAGTCTTTTAGTGCCTGACACCTAACAGATACTTGATAAATCTTTTTTGAATAATAGATGGATAATAACAAAAAATGGATAAATTAATAAAAGCAAGAAATTTAAGGTTAATATGTACCACTGAAAGGTTATTTGGATGTTATTATTAACAACCAATAGTTTAACTGTGACTCCTTTGTTAGTTATACTTTAAACATTTCCATAACTCACTGGCAAAGTCCTGGTAGTGAGAAATTTTGTTCCTCTCTAAAAAGCCCTTTTTTTCTTTGTTATGAATAAACTTCCTTGTTTGCCATAGAACATTGTAAGATGACTCGAACATATTATTTTTATTTTATTCATGAATAATCTGATACTGAGATAGTTCAAGAGGGGTTTTTTATTATTCAGAGGTCTCTAACATTTAACTGCAAGACAGAGCTTTTTCATCTATAGGACATATCCTTAGACAGTAGAGGTCTCAATATTTAATTCTTAAGTGGCAGTAAAAAGGGGAATCAGACTGGGAAGAGACCTACATCTTAGTCCTCTGTCTCCCGTTTGCTTGTTCATTTAGTGCCTCTATT